TACACAGGAGAGATCAGGACACTTCGGCCATTTACTGAAATTGACAAGGTCACATATAAACTGGTTGTCCTGGTAAAAGACAACGGAAATATCTCACTGTCAGCTACAGCAACCGTGGTTATCAACGCAGTGGAGACCAAAGAGGCGTTTGCATCTTCTGATATTAAGCACTCAGTAAAGAAGGAAGAGGAGGACAACATCACATTGTATCTGATGATCTCACTGGGGTCAGTTTCAGCGCTTTTTGTATTCAGTATAATCGGCCTGATAGTCATGCAGTGCTCTAAACCTCCAGACTATTCCTCCAAGTACTCACGTGATTCCAATTATGTAGACACAAGCGGGAACGGAACTCTGTGTCACAGTATCCAGTACAGATCCGGAGAGAAACGGTACATGTTAGTTGGACCCAGGATGAGTATCGGTTCTACTATTGTCCCTGGAAGCAACGGAAATACGCTTGTGGTCCATGAACACAGTAAGAGAATTTCAGGAGAGGTAAGCCATTCACATTTCCTCATGCATCTTTACATTCTGTGCAAATCAATCGATTACTCACTGTTTTGTTTTGGTATTTGCCTGTCTTCTTGTATGCATAGCAGAGCATTCAAACCTGTTATTATTTGTTAAGAGAGCATAATTTACTCCAAACAGGCACTACATCAATCTAACATAGACCAACCACCCCAAACGGACATGGCTGTGTCACTGGGCATTCCTTCATCTTGTGCTTTTGTTGCTGTTGTGCAAAATAGGATTGGCTCAAGTCTGTACGCCAGCTGGGAGGCATTGCCAATCGGCACTGTGGTAGGGAATGTGGCTAAAGACATGGGACTTTTGTATTGTGTCAGAAACCAAATAGATCATTTTCCTTGTAAATTACAGAGATGGCACTTTGTCCATGTCAATAGTAAACAATGAGGACTTTTGTGGAGCTCAGTTTGAGAATTCAAAAGATCCAGAGTTAGATCTAAATTAAATTAAATTCCTTTTTTTTTGACTAATTGACAGAAAACTCAAAACAATAGATAAACTGTTACATATCACAATGACTCAATGATAATGGCAGGCCCTAACGATTGGGCATGTTAAATGATACAGTTGTGGATGTGAATGATGACACTCTGGTTTGCATTACACAGGACTATGGTGTACCCATCCTGAACTATGCAGAAAATGGTAGATTTGTAAATTGCTTATAGTTTTGGATTACTGGTTAAAGGGAAAAGTAACATATTCCTTGAACTTTCAGTGCTCAGGTACAGGGGACCGGAATGCTTGTTGCAGGAAATTACATCCTTAGTGTGGAGAGGTAAGGCTACTTTAAATATTAGATCACAGTCAGATTATGCAAAAAATTGTGAAATTAAAATATTAGTGAGTGCTCTATGACTTAGTGTTGATGTTAGTAATGTTTTTCCTGAACATTTTTAAAATTGGGTGCAGCTTTTCAAATTATACATCACAGAATATTTATATATCCATCCACGCATTGGTCGTAGATTTGACTTCCATATTCAGCAAAGTAATCATATCACACTCATATCCTTTAGCAAGGGCCCTGACCCCAAATCCTCCTGGGATGCTGGCTGAACAATATCTCTGATCCCTTGCTTTCCTACCATATGCCACAGTATCCATACAGCTCAATGGACAAAAACACAGAACACATAAATAACTGCATTTTCATATATCCTGTGTACGATGGGTTGGCTCCCTGTTCTGGGTTATTCAGTGCCTTGCACCCATAGCTTCTCGGATAGGTTCTGGACCCCCTGCAACTTCAAGAAAATAATAATAAAAACAATTTTAAAGAAAAACTAAAGTTGGCACTTTTTTAGCATGGCAGACTGGCACAAGTAAAATAGGGGGTTAATTATGGTGAGCAGTTTGAAAATTTGCACTGTGATGGA